AATTCGATTATAGACTAGAATTTTGATATACAAATTGGATTTGAAACTAAGTTTTTTATACAGATTGACAAAGACCTAGTTTGAAATTCAATCTATTCAAAGACATATCTATAGAGTAGTCATTCATTATAATTTGAGTGGGTAAAACTGAACCTAGTTCAAGTAATATATAGTATTTAAATATATAATGACCCAAATTATAATTTGGATGACATAGAGGGGGAAGCCTCCATTGTATTCGAGGAGTTAAGGATTGGTTGAAAATTTCGGATCGAAGAAAAGGCATATCAAAATGTGATGCGAAAAAACCCAAGCCTTTATTAATAGAAAATACTTCTTAAACTTGTTTTTATCGGTAAGTCTAGAGAACAATCACAATGTTATGCCCCCAAAATATAACTATACAAAGGAGACTTATTGAATTGGCTAATTCAAGTTCAATTGGGAATACAAACAAGTAAATTGTGGTAGTGTAGTACAAGTTTTCACCAATACAAATAGAAATATTCTAACTTGATCCAAATTCTCAACCCATGGAGTTCCATTTGCAGAACTGCACAAACAATAGTGCTAGAGCCCCTGACTTACATATAACAGAGAATGGAATTCCATATTTTCCTGTCCCAAATAGCCCTCTAAAAAATGACCAGAAGCAAAGCACCAACCACACACTGCACAATATCTCCCCTACCCCTGACCCATCTCCGCCACGAATCGTCGATCGGAACCTTAACAACCCGAGCGCCAATGCGGCCAAGTTTACTAGCAAAATGGTGGTGCCGAGCACAAAAACTGGGGACTCGTCAAATGTGAATCTTCCTACATTAGCATTGGTGTCATCGGCACCGGTGGTTTGGTCTTTCTTTGTAACTTCAAACATAGTCTCGGACAATCCTAAGAACTTGAGTATACCACTTAGAAATCCAAGGAACCATGATGTCATCGGTATGATTCTCAACGTTTTCTGATTGTTCCACCATGTTTGGATTGACAGGCCTGCTCGTAGATACTCTGATAGAGTGTATATGTAATAAATGAGAAAGAGAGCGACTGGTATAAATTTAGCCGGTTCATGGACCTGCATGTACAAAATGTTAAGTAGTAATATATTTTTGAATCATATACTGACAATAGCTTTGGCCCAACTAACATGTTCAAATAATAAAGCAATGATTACATCATTGTTATACATTTTTCTTCAATTCTTTTCGTGGTGGCATCGATAACTCCAATACTATCCAATGAGGGTATCCCTATAAAGCCAAATTGTCTAACTTATTTGGTCTACAACTTGATAGGACTAATGCATTCCTGGTCTAGATGGGATGAATTTTTTTTTTTTCCTTTTTAGGGAAAAAATTAATCATTGAAAAACTAAATAATTAGATTCGAATTCAACAAAGTTTTTAAAGTTTCAAACACTTTAATCTTTTATGATGCAAACTACTACGGCCGATCACGAGTTAGTTGAGCTAGTGGTACCATTTAAACTTACCTTTGTTATTCATTAAAAATTCAGAGATTCAAATTTTTTTGACGATCGTAGAACAATGAGATTTTAGGATTTATGGTCTTCTAATTACAACGGGCTTGAGAAATTTGTCCTCAAATTTCTAATCTCACAATTCTTTGAATTATTTAATACCAACTAGGTACTTTAAATTGAACTTTTTTTAAAACTAGAGGGTTATGATTTGTCCTCACCTTGGGCAAGAAGTGTGAGTTGGTGATAATACAATAAGCCGGCAGAGCAGCGTAACAAAGCTCTGGAATCGATCGTACAGCCCACATCTGAATCCACACGTAGGCCAGGCATTGTCGGAAGTGGAGCTTGCCTTTGGAGAGAACAATTATTGGGCTTTTTGGGCTTAAAAGAATTTCCAGAAGCCCAGTAGACCATCTCTTCTGCTGGATCAATGTGGTGGGCCAACTCGATGGAGCGCTTCCAAGAAAAGCAGGAGGTTCGGGTGTTAAATAGGCAGATTTCCAACCTCTCCCATGGATAGTAAGCCCAGTTAGGACATCTTCTGTTGCCGATCCATATATCCAACCAACCTGTAATATGTCAAAATCAATTATAATACAATTTTAATGGGCTTGGGCCATAATTAGATTAACAATTAGACCCATTTAATAAACGAATCGATCGGTTATACATGACACGAAATTTATTATGAATCTAATAAGACATGACCCAAATATGAGGCAGAGATGAAAGATAAAATGAGTATTACCTTTTCACCCCAGCTGGTACCATGTTCATAGCTACAACTTGCAACTTGATATGCTGCCTCAAGGGAACTCGAAAGACCACTTGGATTCTGGGTCTTTACTTGGGATTCTGATAAAATCTGGGCTGCTGATTTGGAGAATTTCGTCGACTTGCCAAATGTATTCTGCAAACTCTCATCACCCAGTTCTCCTAATAACCAAATAAAAAAAAAATATATTTGGTCGACTTCGGTGGTTTGCAATTGTCGTTTTGAGTAATTTTTTGTGGATTTGTGTTTTTTTATACTATGTCCAATCACTTTTAAAGACCAAGTTATTAACTTTGAACGGTCAAGTTACAACTAATTAGGGGGTAATGATGATTGATCACAATATTTTATGATCGATCATGAATAGCCTCAAGCAGTTATGACGTTATTTTTAAAATGTATAATTTGATCTAAAACAAAATAGTAACTTTCAAGGTGATACCAAAAAATTTATACAATGAGGCTTTTGATCTTAAAAAGAGTAGTTGTTCTGAGCATTTTATTCAACAGTTAGAGCTGATTCACATACCCTTGGTTACTGTGCTATCAGGTGATAAACCGTATATAACTTTTCTTCTGTGAAAACATCCTGTTCCAGAATAAAAAATTCCTTGCATCCCCGCTATTCCACGAGCCGGATACTGAATTAGACATAAAGAAAAAATGTGCTTAATAGGTTAATCAAATTGAAATTGTCCATATTAGTGTTATTTTACAGAATAGTAAAAAGTCAGGGTCGGTCATTTGTTTATTACTAATATTATTACAACTATCAAATATGAGGTTCAAACCGATGACCTCCATTCCTTCGAAAATATGGTTAACCATCTCGAATAAACCTGTAAGTCTAGTCACTTGCATCTGTTTGATTAATAGTGAATTTTATCTAATATTAGAACTCACAATTAATCTAACGAGTTCTAGTGATTGTAACGAATTATGTATCGAATTGGATCTCTAAATTAAGTGCGGATATCATTTAACTAAATTTTGCACGCACCTCAAACAAAGCCACCAACTGATTTCCAAATGGGTCATCCTTGAGTCCATCATAGAAGCATTGTGGATATTGAACAAAGCCACTGTCCCTTTCATTCTTGGCACCAAGCAACATGCACATAGCATGAAGAACCATCTGGGGATTGTTGGCATACATATCACAGTCTACATTCAGCATGAAAGGAGCATTTGTCATCACCCCTGACACTCTGGTCTGTTCACAATCACATACAAATTATATTTCCATGTATGGAAAATAAAACATTATGGGTTAATTAGACTTTTCTGTGATATAGGAAATTCTGACCAAAACATTCATGGCACCAGCTTTGAAATGATGTGGATGCTTTGGAAGCTTCTCTCTGGAGATGTAGACCAGATGAGGCAAACCATTGGGAAGATCTTCCTTGTTCTCCCATATAACCTAAAAAATATTATCTCGAATAAGCAAAAGAAAGTCCGACTTAAAAAAAAGAGCAATGCAATTTGAATGTAATTTACTGACTTAATCACTTAATCATTGGATTGATAGTAGATCTCATTATTTATTGAGATCAACAATCAATTCAATGATTGTGATAGATTAGGACGGCAAAGTAGGTTCATCTAACATTATATATATACAGTCAATCCGTAAAAACATTAATAACTTGTACATATATTCATATACAAACACACAGAAGGTGGTAAAACGATGATATCAAAAAGTAATTTTTCAATATTGTAGAAGTCGATTTTAATATGTTCACAATCAATAACTATAATACATACAAGAGAGAACTATTTTTGATACGATTTCTAAAAATTAATTTTATGTACCACATAAATATATGTGGGTTGTGTACATATGTACGTATGTTTGTATGCTCTTCCAATGTTATGGTCTTCATATTAACTGTCTTGATGGTGATATTAGAATATTGAGTTCACTATATATTTGACCACTGAGCTATTATATTTATGTCAATTTAACTCCTAAACTACGCTTTGTATCAATTTAGTCTAGGAACTATTACATTTTTGTCAATGTGACCATTCCGTCCAAAATCATCGTTAAGTTTGAAGGAATTCCTCACTTGTATAATACGTGACCCCCTAAACTATAACTTAATCCCAAATTCACATGATAATGCGCACATGAGGAATTCCGTCAAAGTTAATCGCAAGTTTGGACAGAAGGATCACATTGACACAAATGATATAACTTAGGGGTTATATTGAAACAAAATATAGTTTAAGGGTTTGATTGATACAAATAGTATAATTCAGGGACCAAATTAATAATTTACTCTACAATCCTTATGTCATATTCAATTGATAACGTGATCCAGCAAAAAATTTCAAAATGTTACTTAAGTTTAGAGTAGATACTTTGCAAGAAATTTTGTCCCTTTGTTTGAATAATAACAACCTTAATAATTGTTCACTTGGTGCTGTCTAAATTGTTGAAAAGACCAATGATGTCTTAAAATTTCAAATTGGACACAAACCTCTACAGTTGGGACAATTTTCCAGCAAATTTTAGAGAAAGGGTGACATCCAAACTCTAGAATATGAAATGAAAATGACTCACTCAAGCGTCATAATTTGTGGATTGCGTTCTTGAATAAAATTCTAGTCTTTTCGAGGGTGTGTGTTTGTACTTTCTAGAATACCTATGCCCATTTCAACCTTACTGACATTTCGATGTCATCCAACGCCATTTTCTTCAATTTCTTGTAAGTAACATATCATTAGTCATGGAACAACGGATAAATTATCATTGAAGAAAGTCGAGAAAAGTATACTGAATGAGAACGGAAGGATATCTCATTTCTAAAAACAATTAAGCTACCCCTGGTGTTGTATATATGTGTCTAGGGAATAGTGCATTCTACCTTTATTATAGTTGGATGGTTTCTGCGCTCTGTATGAGAAAATGCTGCAAAATCCACTGTTAGGTCCCATGGCGCAGATGTTTGCGACGCCTCTTCAATCTTTTGGCAAAGCTTTTCGTATTCATCCTAACAAAAATCAAGATAATACATGTGTTTACACTTCTAAACACTACTGTGTAATGGGATCGGATTGAAAAGATCCGTTCCCATTACTGAGTGATGTAATGGCAAAAAAAAAAAAAAATTTCATGAATATAACAATAGTTATGCAAGCGTACTGCCTCCTAATGGGCAGTAACGACCATAAAAAACTGTAAAAAAACTTATTTGTGTGAAAACGGGTGTGAATAAAAAAAATTCACCCTTTTGATTTTCATTTCCATTATGATTATGTAACATCCGTTACACCCTACGATTGTGTGAGAGTTCTTAGCTCACCTTTATCTTTTTCCATTCGTCTTGGAACTCCAATGAACTATCTTCGGACCATGATGACTCGCCATTATAGTATCGAAATGGAGCTCTAACAGCAATGTTGAACTTCTTACAAAATGGAACCCAAAGCTTAGCAAACTTAGCTGCTTCGACGAGAGCATGGAAGGTGAGAGGGGAACAACCATCGTCGGAGACATAGCAAGCCAACTTGTTCGCCGGGTAATCAGCTGCTAACAAGGATAGTACGGTGTTTACGGTGATAATCGGCGGTTCAAGGACGGGGTCGGCCGTTGTGACGAACATGTCCACCGAGGGAAGCTCATGAGCAGGTTTCCTATTATGAGAAAGAAACAAATAAAAATAATATGGTTGTTTAATCAATAGAACAAAATCCCATTTAAACTTGAAAAAATAATTGAAGAGATAAGATTAAGAAATTTAAATCTCATCACGAATCTGAACAGTTGATGCTCAGTTCAATTCGATTCAGTTGTACCACTAGGTGTTATATATATACCAAAAAAAAAAAGTACATATACCAAACAAGTAAAGAGCTTACATAAGGGTTGCAAAGTAGAGAGAGAGAGAGAGAGAGAGAGAGAGAGAGAGAGAGAGAGAGAAGTATTTGGATACCAGTGCAAGAGGCGTTCTGGGTAAGTTTTGTTATACACTGGGTTCCACTTATTGTTTAGAGAGAGAATCCAGATTAAAGTGAACCAGGACTCACAGCAAAAGGCAAGAACCCAAGGCCAGCCATGGTCTCCGAGATGGAACAGACGGTAAACAAGGAGAGATAAGAGAAGGAAGAGGATGATAAGCTCTACAACTCGTGGTATGGTGTTTTTACGAGGCTTTTGTTCTTGAAGAGGAAGAGAAGATGGATTTGCCATTGGCAGAAATGATTATTAGTTTATTAACCCTTGTTATGGGTATTTATAATGGATTTTCGTCATGGTCATTCATTCGAATTTGGACAAGCCTGCACACTTATATTTTATTAATTAAGTGATGAACACGTATCCAATATGTTTGTGGAAATTGCCAATGAAATGGATTTGACACGGAAGTTACCTTAGACTGAGACAGTCGACTTTTTTTTTTTATTTTTTGATCTAACTGAGACAGTCGACTAGAATAAAAAAATTTTGTGCCATTCAACCAAATTTTATAAATATTGTGGGTTGAGATATAAATTTTTAGATTTGTTTACCATAACAAAAAAATTATAACTTCTGAAATTATATTACAATTTTTAGAGTTCTAGTTGTAATTTTTGTGGATTATTTATAACTTTGATGAGTTATTTAAAATCGATCCCAAAAATAAATTTTAATGACGATTACAAGTTATTTTAAATATTTGAAATAACCCATAAAAATTATAAAAATAAAACGAGTCATAATAATGGTCCAACATTTTCTTTGTCATTATTCTCTAAAATGTCACTTATTTCCTTCTGGAGAATTCAACGAGAATGAGTCCACACAAATTAATAGTATGCTTATATATTTATTTCCAAACAAGTGTCATTGAAAGAAACCAATGGATTTTTTTTTCGTAAGGTCGATTGGAAAACAACTAGACTTCTCATGGACAGAGTGGCATTGTCGTCACGATTCGTGAATATTCCAAAAAAAAAAAAAAAAAATCCTAAACTGGTGGGTCTCTGTTTTTGTTTTGTTTGGCCCTGTCACTTTGGGAGACATGATGGTCGGCTTTTTTTTCTAGGAACAATGTTACATGAATTTAAAAAATAGAGTTAAAAAATAGACTTGATAATTTCAATCATTAATTTTACTGTGAGTCCCAACATTTATTGAGACTCAGTACCTATTCAATAGTTGAGATTATCAAGTCTAATTTTTAAGTTTATCTAGCATTATTCTTTTTCTACACAGATCCAATAAACTAGTGTTGGCCCGTGATATGTACGAAAATTGCACACATCTCATTCTCTCTCCGTTTACTTTTTCGTTTTTTTTTTTAATTAAAAGTAATTTGTATTTAAAAATACAGTGTAATATGAATAATTTTGACAGAGATGTTAGTGATCATTAGATAAATCTATTTGAGACCGTCGAATGAACATATGAAAACCTGTCGCAATTTTATATTATAGAATTGTCGTGATACTATTTTAAAAGATAGATAAAAAATTATAAAAAAATTCAAGGTGATAAAATAATTATGTAAAATTCTGATAGTAAAAGTATGTTTCTAGAAAAATTTAAATTAGTGGCTCATCATTTTTTAAAAATTAGAAAGAGTGATAGTTAATTAGTAGGATAGAGAGATAGTTCCGCATGTATTAGAACATAATTAGTTAAGTGACAATTAAATAATTAAAAATTCTAAAAAGAAAAAAGAAAAGTGGGAGGGAATATATATATACATAGATTAAAGAAAAATTCGGTGTAATTTATAAAGAATTAAATTTTTTGATTTTAAAAAAAATATTTTTTTTTAATTTTAATAAAAATAATAATAAAGGAAGAGTACAGAAGCTAGTGTGGGACCCTGATTAATATCTGTACGAATGGTAAAATTAATTTGAGCCACCCATTTTTCCCAATTATTGTACGAAGAACAGAGATTTGATGGCCCATTGGACGTGGACCATGATCCGTCCAACCGCTTTTCTCAGTCCACTCTACCAAAAATAATAATAATAATAATAATTATTTTTTATCACTCCTACCAAAAACAAATGAGCGAGAAAAAAAAATATCCCTTAAAGAATAAAAAAATTATTATTCTTACTTTTCATCTTCTTATTTTTCTGATTAATTGTACTAAACACGCCGTTAGAGATTATCCTCGTAGTTACCTCCATCCTAAATTCACTTTAACTTTTTAATTCTTAAATTTTTTATATTATTCTTTCAAGTATTCACATTATCTCAATTACAAATGTTTACTATCTTATTGGATGAAAAATTTTCGGGAAAAAGTGAAAAAATTTAGAGTTTGAGAGTAAAATGAAATAACTTTTCATGAAATTTGTTATGGACATTAATAATTAGGGCAATGTGAAAATAATTGCATAATTGTAAAAAATATGACAATTAAGAGATAATATAAAAAAAATGTCATAGTTGAGTGGTCAAAGTGTAATTTACCCAAGGATTTTTGCATTGTTTGTGTATATTTTGGAATAGCAATTAAACAAATAATTTCATTTTAATCCATAAATGTGGTAATAATTAATCAATCATTTTACAAGGTTCTTATTATATTTTATTTGACTTAATATTTAGATAACGAATGACAGTATATTCGAAGTTTGACAAGTTATTGAAATCAGATCACGAGAAATTTATCTCTTATGATTATTTTATTTCAAATGAGATGATTTTTTTTTATCAGACCGATGAGAAAATTAGTCGAGAAGTACGTGTATTAATAGTTATGTCATGCATTACGTTAGGTGTCATAACAATCGTCCAATATTAAACAAAGAATTGAAAGTTCGTTTAATTAATCAACAGACAAAATTTCATTTAATAATTGATAATGGAGTTTGAATCTTGAAATTTCCTAACACGTTCTATGAATTGAAGGCAAATAGTCCATCCAATTGCTGGATTAGTTTGACACACATTTTGTCAGCTACTAAAATTTTCTCTTGCCTCATGGAAAAATATGATGCCCATTTTGTCCGGGAGTGTAAATTTTTTTGATGCCATTGTTATATCTATACTATTAATAAAAAAAGATGAAGATGTTTGATATTCATTCTTAACTCAGATGATTTTGGATCGTTGAGAAAAAACTATCGACGTTAAGGAAATAAAAAAAATGACATTTTATCAAATTGTGTAGCTACCAATATTACTGGATGGGGGGAAAAAACTATCAACATTGATAGTTTATTTGGTACGAAGGAAAATTGGGTGGATGAAAAAGGAAGGATGAAAAATGAGGAAAGAAAGAGTTTTCTTTGCTTGGTATCAAAGAAAAATTCGATGGACCACGCCTATTGGGGTACCGGTCTTACTCTTTAGTTTGAAGTTGAGAGTTCGAGTCTTGGAGTTTTCATTGGGGCTTCGTAGTTGGCCGCTATGCTAGCCTAACTAGGTCTGATTCCGAGAAGTATTCTAGGCACGACCAGGGGCCTTATGATCCCACCGATAAGGATTTATCAGGGTGATCGCTGGACGCTTTTCCTTGCCCCCACACCTTAGTTTAAGTATCAAAAAAAAAAAGGAAAATTGGATGGAATGGAATAGCAAGTGGAAACAAAATCCCTTTCGTCCGCTATTTTGTTTTGGTCCAAAACTGGGCAGAAAATGGGACAGCAAAGTGGGTTACATAAGGTATAATGATGAATTGATGATCTCTTTAGTAGGAAAGATGAAAAAAAATAAGGGATAAAAATTATAAGGAATATACTTTCCATTTTTTGAGGAAATTTTTTTTTTTGTTTGGTATAAAAGATGAAAAAAATAAGAGAAATTTTTTTTTTATTATTTTATGTTGTAAGAGAAGAAAACTGAATAAAAAATTACCATCCCTTCTCTGTAGGAGAGATTTAATGTACTTTTCATGGACCCCACAAATGTGGTCCACTTGTACAAACAAAATGACAAGAAAAAGGTGGGCCACGCACTCTAAAATCCGTCACTTTAAATAGTTAAAATGGTAAATTTCAAAGAGTTGTTACATCAGCCACTTTTTTTGTCGGACTTTTTCTTTCATTTTTGAGGTGATCAAAAATAGTAGGCAAGATACGGTTTCCACGCACTTTCTCTTCCTATACCAACAAAAGGTAAATGTCATTTTTCATCGACCATTTTCCATCCATCCACTTTCCACCAAATTAAATAGGCCATGAATGTGTTTGATTTTTCGTTCCATTCTTTTTACCTCTTATATAGAACAATAAAAAATATATTATTCTTATTTTTTATTCATCATACCAAACAATAAAGAAGAGAAATTATATTTTCTTTCTTCATAGATAAAAAATCCATTCTCCCTCCTTTTCAAACATTCATATTTTTCAGCCATCATACCGTACACACCATTAGAAAAACAATGTAAAGCAGATGAGATAAGGAATGACAAAATCAAAGGTCAAGGAAACAGCTGGTCAAACACGTGTTTAGGATATTTCTCAAGTGCTTGTCATCTTCAATTATAAAAGTGAACAAAATCATGAATTGAACACTGATATTTTAATAAAATAATGATAGCCGGTCAATCATACAACTAAGAATCATGATTGCTTTTTAAATTCCTACAATCAATCATATAGTGTAATATTTTTAAAGAATTTTGAATTGAATTCTATTAAAATCTTATTATTCAAATTATCTTAATAACACCGTCTCATTGGAATGAAAGTAATTCTAATCAGGAATAGGTATCTCACTCCAAGTTAAAAAATGTCACAATTTTTATAATTGAAGTAGGATATTTATAATAAAGATTTTTATTTTAGGAAGGATGATGACTTTAGAAAGGGGGATTGGGGTACGAGATTACCATAATTGACCATGGGTTTTGTTGGAACATAACTTTAATACCACTGATTGAAACATAACTCTGATACTATTTGTTGATTTTGCACAACAGATAATTAACACAAATAATACTTGTTGAAAGATAAGAATTCAAAAATAGAAAAACAATAAAAACATGACACAAAAATATAACGTGGTTCGATACAACATACTTATTTGGTACACCGTACTTACATTCACGGATCAAGAATCTACATCGATATATTATTCACTGAAATCTGATTATTTGGTAACTGATTACATAATACTTAACCATATTTGTAGGGATAAAATATTATAATTCAATTCTATTAAATACAACTTGATCTTTATTTTCTATTACATGTTAAATATATTTATTCATAGTATATTAAAACTCTTCAAATAAAATCCTATTCCATATAGGATTCTCATATTGATTACCCAACAAACT